CTGGATGCATAGAGGACCTGTTTCGCCCCTCATTGATGACCATCTGGAACTTCAGGTCTTGTGGTGAGTGCCTGTTCTTCAAAGCATTGACCCAACACCCAATGATGTTCATGCCTAACTTCAACCAATTATTTGAAGGAGTGAATTACAATATTGTATGGTCGAATATCAAGACAGCATGTGTAATCGATCAACATCATGTTGAGCTCGATCCTTATCAAACTTTATGCTAATATACGATAACATTCACTTGGTATTGTTTTGTTTGTATTTTCCCATTGAGGTTTAAGACTGCAATTGATCAGTCTGTTACTGGCATATATGCACACTGTGCGTATGCCTCGATATTGCCTTAATTCACAAGCTTTTATAAGCAAAGATGGATAGTGGCTAGCAGTTATTTAAGGCAATATCGAGGCATACGCACAGTATGCACATATGCCAATAACAGACTGATCAATTGCAGTCTTAAACCTCAATGGGAAGATACAAACAAAACAATATCAAGTAAATTTAAATTCACCCCATTGCACAAGCAAGTGGCTATCAGGACTCAGTAGTTGAGTGGATAACTCGATGACGTTTGAAGCGAATGGTACTGGGTTCGAGTACCAGAGTGAACATCAACTCAAAGATGCAGGTACATCCGACTGACAAGTCCCAAGTAAGACGAAACGCGCGTCCTGGATTCCACTGCTAGCCACTATCCATCTTTGCTTATGCGGTAACATTTATAGAAATATATAGAGATATTTAGCCACTCAAAGTAGTTTATAAGACAATAATCAAAACAAAGTAGATTACATAACTAAACAAAATAATTAAAATGTACAAATAGATAGTGTGATGAAAGGTGTACTAGTTTTAATACGAGTAATAAAAGTTTGGGTCAGCGTTTTATAGTATCATGTGGATCGAAGAATTGAAAAATATTTACATTCAAATAACATTCATTAGAAAGTATTGAAATTTCTTGATAATGATTGTTCATATAATTAAAGAGGTAAGGGTATGTTGTGAAATGGGGTGAAGAATAACAAATGAACAAAGGATATGGAAAATAATTATAAATAAGATCATTTGCTTTATTTATTTAAGAGATGGAGGCATTTCAGATTTTTTATGAATACAAAGGTTTAGGTTTTTATCTGCAATCCCTGTAGCTTCTGCTATGTGGAATTGATGAGTTCTAATCCTATGAGAAAAAGTAGTAGGTATACAATAAATTACTCTGAATGATTCGGTTCTATCTACTGCATGACTGTTATCGACGAAAGGTGATTGAAAGGAGCTGTGTCGTGTTTTGATCATACGGTATAAAACATCTGTTATAACGTGAAAAATAATTGCTCCTGGTTAAGGGTAGCGAATTATTGATCGGACCAAAGACGCGCAAACACGTAGAACGACCTAGGGTTCTGATTGGTCTCGCTTCCCTGTATAGCCCAGCCAATTGAGTCCAGAACGCAAGTCACAGCCTCGGATATATGAATCATTATATTTCAAACATGCTTTGTTTATATACCAGTCAAACAGTCCACAACGTACCATAAAATAGAAAATAACATTGTACAATAATGACCAGTAGGAAAATAACACGCTAACTAAATATTGACCAATAAGATGATACTATTTCATGTCCAAGGATAGCATTAGGCTTAACAGGATAATTTCTGGGATATTTTCCTGAATATCCCAACACCTCCCCTTTTTTTGGAGATCCGGAGTTGATGTCCGGATTTTAAATTTTTCTCGCGTCTATCCTCCCCCTCGAAATAATGTTGGGTCTTCATAAACCCAAATTACAATTAATTTGATTGTATTTAAAACACATTGCACAGGGAATCCAGTAAAATCGACCAGATAATGAGGATAAACACCACTCAATTCGAAATCATCCGAGTTCAAATCTTCTGAGATATTGTTGTCAAATTTATAAGGAGCATCATTAGTAGATAATGGATGATTATGGTAATCCGTGCCCAACAAAACTGTGCCAGGTTCTTGATTATTAGTTGATGCGTGAAACACATTTTCTGGCAAAACAATGAGATCTTCTCGTGAGCTGGATATGTTACGGTCTGCACATGCTGTTTCGGGGTTGATGGAGTTTGACTCCATTACCGGGCATGTTTCTGAAAGAGAAAGTACTGGACCACTGGGCGCATGATGGATGACTGTTTCGTTTGAAGTACAGTTAACCGAGGATTCATGGAGGCTGCTGTCATTTTCCAGCTCACTGTGTATTTCAGATATCAATCCATCCACTTCCGTCGCGTCTTCATAGCATGAGTGATTTAGCAGCTGCGTGCGGAATTTGACTAATAACTCCAAATGTCGTTCAAAGAGCAGCTGTAATCGTTCGGAAGGGAGAGTCATTTTTTTGAATCAGCAGTTGTGCTGAAAATTACTGTATGACTAATGACCAATGTCGTTGAAGGACACTGACGACAATCTGGATGCTGATTGGTCGGATAATTAGACTGGATTTCGTCCAATTACAGAATGACTTTGGATTGTATCCTTTCTTCACCCCGTCGCCAATTGTTATAACGTGAAAAATAATTGCTCCTGGTTAAGGGTAGCGAATTATTGATCGGACCAAAGACGCGCAAACACGTAGAACGACCTAGGGTTCTGATTGGTCTCGCTTCCCTGTATAGCCCAGCCAATTGAGTCCAGAACGCAAGTCACAGCCTCGGATATATGAATCATTATATTTCAAACATGCTTTGTTTATATACCAGTCAAACAGTCCACAACGTACCATAAAATAGAAAATAACATTGTACAATAATGACCAGTAGGAAAATAACACGCTAACTAAATATTGACCAATAAGATGATACTATTTCATGTCCAAGGATAGCATTAGGCTTAACAGGATAATTTCTGGGATATTTTCCTGAATATCCCAACAACATCTGTCAACATTTAACGTTTATTGCCTAATACATGTATTCTGTAACGAGATTTAACCGACACGTATACACATGAACATTTTCTTACTGTTTTTATTTGGTAATTCTAAAATTGAAGAAAAGTGAACACAGTGGAATCTAAAGTTTTTTCTCTCTTGGTAACCGGTTCATTTTTCTGCCATTATTGATTTGTGCTACTTTTCGTTTAAACATATCATAAACGTTTACATAATCATTTGTAATTAGCTTTTCTTGACTAATTCATGCGTTTACACACGATTTCTATTATTTAATTATACACGGTAACGTTCCTAAAATGATACTGAGCGAAAATTTGTATATGTATGAATATTTTAACCAAACAACCGAAATATTTGATTCACTTGAAGGTTTTAAAAAATGTACAATCATATGTTCTAATAAAAGGAGTAAGATTGTCTAAGGTCTAATGTAATTTATACTAAGGGTTAAAGTCAATTACTTATCGTTTTTTATTATAAAAAGAGCATACAATTTTTACGTACTAAAGTCCTGACTGTGTAGCTGCTACCTTGTTGTGCTGGTTGAGTTTGTATTATTGTGGGGTGACCCAGTTGAGATTAATGACTATAACATTGGGTTTTTTTTCGGTCCTACCATGTCGAACAGCTTGGTTAGAAAATAAAAACAAGATTAAAAGCAAGAAACGTAGTGTGTCACGGTGAAATCGTATTGTAAGCTGTGCAGGAGCGTGAATGGAGTAGGCTGTTTCCTCCAGACAACTTGTACATCTGTGGTACATTCTCATATCATTATTCGTCCAGTTTTCGCTGCGAACACTGTTTCGTAATGCAATAATCCATATTATTTTAAACTATAGTTATCTGTTCATCGGTGATTCTTTAGAAGAATATAGTTCTTTGTAGATAAAACTTTTAAAATTTATAAACCGCTTTACTTAGCCCCCACACTTATTTTAAAATTGTAATAAGCCGAATACAAAAGTACTTCATCATACTGTTGACATTCTTGAATTGAATTTGGATGTTACGAGTATATGTGATCATACTTAATCTTCCGTTGTATGTTTTTTGCATGTGTACCAGTTGATCTTCAAGTAATTTATTCAACTTGGAAGGTTGTCCCTTTCACATATCAGTCTAGGTCTAGTTATATAAACAACGCCATATTCTTGTAATGAATCAAAAAATTACTACTCATTGTTATTTATAATCTACAAGATAATGTATGTGTGTGTGTTTGTTTCTCTAAATGCCGTTTTACAACCAATTTTCTAGGAACTAAGTACTCATTTGGTTGTTTGAATGTAGGCTGTTCTTGTTTTTATAAGTTTGTTTTTCATCCAATTGTTACGAAGATCCTTGATGTAAAATTAAAACGGGAAAGTCTACGCATAATCCATATATATATATATATATATATATATATATATATATATATATATATATATATATATATATATATATATATATATATATATATATATATATAATCTGAAATGAAATTTGTCATAATATTTACTACTGATACTTTGTTCATAACTTATTCGGTAAACCTGTATATATAAGAAATTTGTTAATAACAGATTATCTAAATACGTCACTTGGTCATTACCAACTTGGGTCACTTGTGTAATAGGAGAGTTGTCTTTCTGCCAATCTAAGATCGTGTATACTGCTTTGCAGTCTGCTCTGTTTTACTATTTGACTGTAAAAACAGTCTTTACAATTAGAAGACATATGTCGGCTGCAGGTTTTTGTTCATAGTTATCTTCGGAGCATTGCTTGCGTTTTGTGGAACAACCGAATAAGACATATTGAGGTTAGGCATAAAGGGTACCAAAGAAAGGTGAAAAGTAGGTTGGTGTAGCTATTAATCTTCATAGTCTGGGGGTTGCAATATGTTTACCCATGTCCAACTATGGTTATGTCACTCAATTTTACAGTTTGAGACATTACTACTACGCTATTCGTTCTTCTATTGACCATTTATCATTACTATGGACTTCACTATTCATTGTAATTTGAAACTATTCTATTTACTCATTACTTGCCCGTTTTTTTTATTTCTACAAAACAGACAGACACCCTATAATCCGAAGTTATGATCTTGTAGTTCCAGTCACTATTTCTACGGCACGTCCTTTAATATTTTTCGGTCCATTGAAGGATCGCATTATTGATGAATTATTATTGCATGATTCACAATTTACAACATGTGTATTACGTGAGTATTTTTATTTTGTTCGAATATGTATTTAATAATTTTTATTTTAATTATTGGTTTTATGATTACTTGAAGTTTATTATTACGTGGTTAGGATATGTAGTTGTAAATGATTTAGTCGTATACTTTAAGCTCTACTGTTCATGGCTTAATTTTATGAAATGTTATTAGTCATAATTGATATAGAGGTTGGCATAAATGTCCATTAGCTTGCATTAGCCAAACGAATTGCAGTTAATACAATGAACAATGAAGGAGTCTAAATAAAGCTGTAACCATGATAATGATAAAGAGTCAAGGTTGAGAATATAGTCAGAAAAGATAAAAGGAAAAGCTTTGTATGAGGAAATACTGATTATTAAAGTCTAGAGTAAGATAAAAAGTGAATTGAGCAGAGCTATTTTGACTGATTCCATGTCATATCTCTCAACGTCTCCAGCCACTGGTTGTGGTTATCACAAGGACCCAAACTAGGTAGCTTGCACTGACCACCAGTCAGTGACCTCATCGAACGATACCACCTGTTGTTTTAACTATCCATGGCCTTTTTCTAATTTGCTTCTGTCTCAGTAAACACCGTTCATCGATGTAAGGGATTGTTGGACATACAATTTTATGAAATACTTTGTGCCTAATTTTTCAAATCCAAGCAATTGGATATCCATAATAAAGTACTAACTCCATTTTCTTTCCTACCATAAACTTTACACTATTCTCACATCTCTCTCTTTCATACTCTTCACTTGTTGAAAAAGTATACTGTTCAATATAAATCAATTTTGTTTTCTTTTCTTTACTCTTAGTCGATGGATTGTATAGAAAATACAGTTGTATAATGTTTGTACGCTGTGTTATTAGTATTACTAAAGCAAAGTGGTGTTTATAAAATGGGTAATATATTTCAATTATAAAGTATGAATATGTCCTAAATACTGTTTGATTCCTTAGGCTTTCAATCACTTTCTTATTATTCAGATGTTGAACATCCTATTCGGCTTCTCAAACAGAAAGAGAACCATTTGGGTTGGTGTTAGAATTAACTGTTGACTTCAGAAATAAAGTTGAATGATTTATAACTTTAATCTTTTTAATGATATTATGCAACCACAATTCAATTCCACTGATGAAGTAACTGCCTCATACCCGAAATAGTTGAGCTGTTACTGGTTATTGCTTCTCGTTGGGACTCAAGAAATTACTCCTTAAACTTAGTCAACAATGAGAGGACATAATTATTATTACTATAGATTGTTTTTAGTGACTACTGTTGGTCAACTCAGTATGTTATTTCAGCTATTATGCAATACCTAAGACAATTTGTAACATTTCTCGTTCATGTGCGTGAATAATAATAATTTCCCCTTTTTATTTTATTTTAATATTATTACAGACACAAATAGACCACAACGGTCAAATGAACGTAACGGTGTTGATTATTATTTTGTACCATCGAAATCAATTATGGAAGAAGATATTAAACAAGGCAAATATATTGAAGTTAATCGTTTTCAAGATCATTACTATGGTACAAGTTTAGAATCGGTTCGATCGATTCTTCAGTCAGGACGAATATGCATTTTAGATGTTGGCTTAGATGCTGCTAAATATTTAGAAGTAGGTCTTGTTCTTCTGCTACATGTATATTTGTGGGTGTTTGTGTCTCCGCTTTTGGTTAGTATATAATATTCCATATGAATTATTTAAAATACCGATGGAATTTCTGTAAATTTCGTAGTTCCAAGTTGTATCTATGGAGGTAATATATATACTGCGATTAACGATTAACAAAATATGTGACTACGATTTGTTTAGAAACTTTATTCTATCAGAAGCAGTACACAGAAGTAATACTGTAGGAGTATTAATTTCGTATAGGCTTGGTTATATATAAAACAGACAACCTTGCCTAATATAAATATAGGTTTGTGGAGATTGTTGAATTCCTTCAAACTAATGAAACGACCACCACTGAAAACCTGGAAACACTGGACTACCGTTTCATCCTAATTACGACACTTCTCAGTAGTGAGCATCTACAGACACGCCAGTGAGAATGAAACACAATACGTCCATTTTTACTCGCGGGCGCTTAACCTCTAGACTACTGAGTCAGCATGCAACATTGTTTTAGTGAGAAACTGTGACCAGTAGTGCTGAACCGCGTTGGATGTGAGGGGAATCAGTGATCGAAGACGGTGGAAGATAATCGTGCAACGTCTTAGATGGATTTAAGACTTGTGTAGTAATCAACACCAGCTTATTGCTCTAAAAGTCAGGGATTCGCGTGCAGGTTCTTGGGTGAATATTTCTAGAGAGTTTTATGTTAGGACGAAATAATCGTCCAGTACTTCCAGTTTTCTATCGTGGCCTAACTTAGATTGGTTCATAATTTGTATAATATCATGTCACACAGTTACAAAACTTTCAAAATAAATTTGACATAACGTTTATTTTAATGGAGATAGATTGTGGCTAACAGTGAGATCAATGACGCGCGTTTCTTCTTATTTAGGAGTGGGTTAACTGGGTATACCTTCTAAACACTACTAGCTACAGTCCATCTCCGTTATAGAACAAGTGATAAAATCGCTATATTGAAGCAGTTCACACAACATGCATATATGTTAGCTGAGATTGATCAGAATTCAGTCTGGAATAGTGATAACGGGATGGGATAACTCAGAAACTCTTGCGAGTGAAGTTTATCTTAATATTTCGGTGTTTAGTTAAAAACAATTCTAATGTATCGTTTAGCGTAAAACTAATGATTATTTTTCTCATATTTCAAGGAGGTCGGTTTATTTCCTATAACTATTCTATTGAAACCGAAATCGGTCATACATTTACGTTCATTACAACGTCGATTAACAGAAGATCAAGCTAAACGATCAATGGAACAAATACACAATATTGAAGATGAGAATTGGCGTTTTCTTTCAGGTGAGATTGTGGTTATTATTACAAACATCATTATTTTTCGTTAACCTATTGTCGAATGATAATTTTACTTCATTTATATCTGGTTATTTATATATTCACACTATAGGATGATATAATTGGCTGCTTGAAAAGGTAAAGATATTATCTTTTAATGTGTTGAACAGGCGATTCCCTCCTCAGTGCTCAGTATCTCGTAGGATGCTAGATCTACGGCATTTAGGTATGTTACAGGATATATGTCGAATAAGTTGAACGATATAGTTTTTTCAACTTGAATGTATTTGTTTCCATTCGAAATGATTTAGATCATCGCGTTGTTGGTATTTTAAAAGAAATTTGATCAATGTTGGTTGACATATGTGTATTTTGTGCGGATTGCCTTGACATAACCATCACGACACCAGTTAGTATAGAAATGTGCCTAGTAGTGGAATCCAGGATGCACGTTCTGTTCTTCCTGTGAGTTGTCAGCTGAATATCCCTGAATCCCAGTGTTGATGTTCGCTACGCGATTCGATCCCAGTACTGTTTGTTTGAAACACTACCGGGTTATCTTCTTAGATACTGATTCCAGTTATTCAAATCATTTCTGTTTTATTGTTCGGTCTAATTTTCTCCATATTGTGATTCCACGTCGTTATTGAATAATGAAAATGCAACTCAGTTAAATAATTTCATCTATAGATCGACTGTAATCACCGATGAATAGGAACAGCAGCTCAATGTTGAAGGTTTTCGACTTTCAGAACCTCGTATTACTTACTTTGGTTTATGCAACCGAGTATTATCAACAGCCTTCACATACAAAGTGTACCTTAAAACCAAATACATTATTTTATTCTATCTTCTTTGTTGTTGAAAAGAACCAAGAATATTATTTGATGTCGAATAATATGGATTTATTTTTAATTCTTGTATTATTATCAACTACTTACAACTGTATTCATTTCGCAATGCAACATACTTTTATAAAATAAATAGTTTGTAGCTAGCAGTGGAATCCACCAATGTTTGTCTCGTCCTATTTGGGACTTATCGAGTGGATGTGACTGTGTGTTCATACTAGGACTCTAGTTCAGTATCTTTGACACTAGCTTGTGTAATGAGTTTGAATTTAATTTGATTTGTAAAGTTTTTTAATTGTTCCATTGTTAATATTCTTGACATATGTATATCCTGTATGGATTGCTCCGTTATAACCATATTGTCACAGTTATTAGAGCCATTATAAACTCAGTCAGTCAGTCAGTCAGCTACAACGTAGGACCAGGCACATATGTGCATCGGTCCAGGTTGCCATACCCCATCAGCACAACAAGATGAACACCGGATTCATAGCATGTAAGAGAAAGATTGCATATAGAGATATAGTACAAGAAGAAAGAATTGGTTCGTAGAAAGAAAGATATGAAGTGATTTTATGAATCTTCATCGACTGATTTACCATCATTCCCTAATACCCTGCGTCTAACCTCACTTACTTACTTATAAACTAAATAAAATTCATACTTGTTGTACAAGCTAGTGGTCATGTGGACCCCAATAGCTTAGTGGATAATCCTTTGGTCATTTGAAGTCAACAATAGAACAATTCAAGACCCTTAGGAATTAAATGTGAGCTACTATCAAATAATAAAGATTGATGACCGGATGAAATCAATATGACAAGGATTATCAGTACTATGTAGAGATATGTGGACATACATATATTTATGAGGTAGATGTGTAGTGAACGAAAAACTCAGGTGGAGAAAGTCAATTTATTTTCTAATGCATAATTACCTTGATAAAATATGCAAACCATACATTAAATGCATTATTTGCACATTTCTCATCAGTTGTTCTTTACACACTCCATTATTTCCTTTAATTCTGTTGTTATTTCGATTGCTCTCCGTTCTCCTCCCTATTCTCTTCATTGCGATCTTCTGTTGCCAGGCGTTCCACATCCGATTGTTGTTACATACTACTTATATCTGTCAACATAAGTATCATACACAACAGACATATCTAGAAAATATGAAGGTTAAAAAGGCAATCATTATCTAGAATTCAAACATTGATCAAATCGTTTGCGCAATAATTATAAGACATTTGAAGAGTGTACATAAGTTTGAACAATTTAGTAAATAAAGATCATCACTGAATGATAAAAAGCAATTCTTCAATGGATGAAATAGTCATTAGTATAGCGAAGATTGTAAGAATTAATATAAACATTACTACTAATTCCATCCCTATTAGTAATAATATAAGATAATTCAACCAATTTTGGTGGAGTTTTGTTCTCTGAGCTGGTGGTTTGGTCGTGGAGCTTTCATCGTTCTTCTGAACAACATCATCAGCACAAATTTCAGGTAGAAGTGAAGTGAAAGCTCCACGACCAAACTATCCAGCTCAGAGAACAAAACTTCACCAAAATCATCCACCTGAGCTACAAATCTTCTCCACCATCTCAAAATTCAACCGATTCGTCATGATAATAATAAATTGATAGCTGTCTGCTACTGAACAAATAAATTTAGTTTGAATTTTTTTTTCTTTTATGCCTACTACTTCAACGAAGCGTAATGAAGTTGCGCTTTCTTCATGGTTCATTATTTTGAAAGATTACAGAATGTCGATAATAACATGTTCACTATAGATTAAATGTCGAGTTATTGGTACTTTTTGGTTTCAAGTTCATTGAAACATGCCAAGAAATATTAATATACTTTATATACTTTTAATCACTGGAAACTACCTATTATAATAAAATACTCGTATATAAATGAAGAATATCCTTTTTAATAAATTCTCTTCAGGTATTACAATTATATATCTACGCTAGTAATTCTAAATCTATTCAGCTATATAAGGGCAAATACATCATTTCATTTAACGTATAAACTTATTCTAGTTAACATTTCATTTTATTCACTTCAGCACTAATCATTTGATTTGATTTGATATTATAAACAATCCTGAATTAAAATGCTATAATTTTAAGCGATGTATATTGTCTTAAACATTATATTTGAGGAGTCTTCACTGTTATATCCGTATGAACTCTGCTGGATTCGCAGTCTTATTTCAGGAATGCGAAAGATTGTTACAATTACGGCTTATTGGCTTTCCGAAAACATGTTCCGATACCGATCCAACTTAAATAACCAGAACTCGCAAACGGGAGTCGAACCCATGACCGTTGGTCTCGTGCTCGATCGTTAAACCTTCAGACCACTGAGTTGGTATTCAATGGTGTTAATGTCTAACTTCAATCAATCTACATTATTGAACAGCGCTGATCTTGATGTATACTAAAAATTGTACAATCTCTATTAATGTCTCATATTAATGACAGTCGTGTCCTCACTAGCGACGGGTTTCAATATGTAACTTGTATAATTCTATTGAGAAGCTATGAGCAATAGGATTTAATTCTCATCAGGCGTAAGACAGTTATCCACCGCAGGTTTTAGATGATGGTTGCACAATATCATGAATTTATTAAAGGTTAATATTAATATTTTTGTATGCTGACTCAGTGATCTAGAGGTTAAGGTACTGGGTTCGATTCGCACTTGTATGGTTGTAAAGGCTCATTGTTGATAAGTTTCATCATAGAACGAAACGGCCGTTCAGTCCTTCCATGTTTTTAATGTTGGTCTAACTAATATCAGTCTATTATTTCAACTGTTAAAATTATACTATGAACATAATCCCCTGTATATTAATAATATAAATAATATAATAGTGATCCTTTCAACTTGAGTTCGCTATAAAGAAAATTTAATGATTAAGTTAGTATTGATGGTTAGTTGTAGTGTCTTATAATTACGATAAGAAAAAGACTAAACTGTTTCATTATCCATTATACTATTTCAACTTATTCATTTCGGATCACATCAAACCATTCGAACTTCATGAGGTTAGTTTATTACTTTGATTTGTTTGAGATCATCTAATTCCTGATTCAACACTTTTCAGATTTATTTTATTGTGTACTAGTGTACACATACACATATATGTACGTAATCAGATTTATGTGACTGTTCTATTTATGTGTTTTTCAATGCATCAAAATAGGTGACAGTTATTTGTGTGTGTATGTGTAATGAGGTCAATCTTGCACCATTCAATCACTCTGTTAATTAATCAGTCGGGCAGAATATTTTCTTGTTCTTTGGAAAATATAGAATTTCATGTGTTACTCTGACTAGGCATCCTAAAGACTGGATATATACATACATATAGTTTCATGTTATCCATTATCTTCTGGTCTTGAATGAACATTGAAATGGTAAAAAAACACTTTTATTGGTTATTATTTATAACGTTTAAAATCGATGAAGTCACATGTTTCTTAATGTATTTTAACTTTACTACAAGTTTATTTATGATATAAGGATTTTTTTATTATTATCAACTCATTAATTAATCGGATAAAGGTTTTTGTACTTGGCTTCGAGCCAAAGCTCAAATGTGATGACTAGTGATACAGCCAAATTAGTTACCCTAACTACGCTTATCTGAAGGTGGGATTCGGTCTTGTGACTTAATGATTATAAATCGAACAGCTTGACCACTGAGCTACGTTTAACTAATATATACTATATTTAATAGTCTCTGATTACTGATTAATGGTAACTTTGTGATATGCAAAAAAGAATCTCAAAAAGGTGTGTATTTTACAAAGTTTGGCATAATCTATATTTCTCTGAGTTTGTGTGCTTGTTGGCATTGATTTAAAATTGATCTGTACAAAGAAAACTGCATAACATTTTAAATGACAAAATCATTGTAGATCAAGGTTTTACTCTTTGTGTGTGTTTGTAATTCAGTTGAATTTATATCCAGATGATGATCATTTTTATTTTACTTTTTACTAAATCACTAAATATTATGGTTTTATTTATAGAGTTTTCCAGTCCATAGGTTTTTATATTGAGTTCGAAGGTGTCAGTTTTATTTTCAACCACAAACCAACGCTGCTGATTGTTTCTAGCCATTTAAATTCAATGCTTAGTACAGGTGACGTCGAATCACTTAAACTTTCGATGACTTTGGTTGTTAAAATGCTATCAGTGCTAAACTCTGACTGTCATAATCGCTTCTACTTTTATTTTATAATGATATTGTTCTTGCTAACAGTTTGTTTCGAATTATACTATATTAGTGATCAGTTATTGTAGTTAATGATAATTATAATAAATCCAACAATGAGTGATCAATATTCAATCCTGGAATTCAACAAAGTGACATAATCCATTTTATTCATTGACTATATTAGTGTCTAATTAGTCTTAGTAACTCAGTGAACAATATATTGATTTTTGAAGCGAAAAGGATTGAATTCATATTCCAACGTGAACATCAAAATTGAAATGCTATTCCATACAGCATGTAGTGTCTGTTGTCATGGTAAGCCTATATATCTTTTTCTAGCTTTCGGATAGGCCAATCTACTCATTCTAGTTGAATCACATTTTGACCTTAATTATTCACTTAATCTTGACTGTTTGTATATGAGCGCGTAGGTGTGTATACACTTCTTATCCCATTACTCATCACATGTCTGTAAATTATTTTTGTGTGCCTATAAATATTGATTAACGCTTGACTAAAGGGGAGTTGGCTTGCCAGATATCTCCACTGCGCGTCGTTTCGATCCCCTCTATTCCATTCCGTTCATATACAGAATATATGTATTCAAACGTCCATTCTCGTTATTTGACTTATTTAATTCCGTTATTGACTAACCCTATTGAAGTCGATGATTATATACGAGGATAGGCGACATATATACTTCAATAACAATCATTCATAGGATCAAATTGGAGTCAAATCCCGGGCCACTGAAATGGAGAGCTTGTCGACAACATCATCTGGTCTAATTGACATCTAAATAAAGGGCCCTACAAAAAGCTGATAAGTTCTAAATAAGACAAAATATATTAGTTCTAGATTGTACTATTAAACTACAATTTACCTATTCTATGATAAGTATAATTGAACTTTTTTTCAACAAAAAAATTCTATCATATCTTTTGTTGTATTTTTTCCCTTTCAGCAATTATAACCTATGAAAATTTTGACAATGTATTATTATCTGTTAAAAATTATGTTCAATTACATAGTGGTCCAGTGATTTGGGTACCTTCAGCATTATCTACATTACCCGGTGTTCAATGTTTAACAAGTACACCTAAGATCAATTATCATTCAATTGTAACTGATCCAATTAATCATCCTCAAAATAATGTTAATAGTAATAATAATATTAATACTAACACTACAACCAATGATAATAATAATATTAGTGCCTTACAATCATTATCTATTCAATCTGTAAATTCAACACAATAAGACTCCTGATCATCATTGAAACAATCCATCATGTAAACAAGATTTGATAATTGAAAACAAAACGAAAAAAAAGAGGTTTCAGTGAATGAATTTTATTCAGAATATAAAAACAAACTGAATTGATTTGCATGGAATAAATTGTTTCCAAGATCGTTTCTTTTATTTATTTATTTATTAAATGATCTCTAATTGTTTATATTTACTTCTCTGTCTATTGTATACATTACAATTTATTTTATTTTTTAAAAAGAACTTATCCATATGTATGTTACATTGTTTAGAATTCATTTGACTTTTTACTACATGTTTCTTCTTACTATTTGCCTATGGTATATATTCTATATGTATATGCATCGTTATTCTGTATTCATTTGTATTGGCTATCATACTGTCTCTTGAATGTGTCATTAGTTTGTTTCTATGATTCTATTCATCTTTACTTTGCATTTTTTTGGTCACTTTCTAGCGGTTTAGTTATTCATTTAAACATATACATGTGCCTGTTGTAGAATTTATATATATGGTTTAAATTTTTTTGTTATAAGCTACTGAACACTGCTTGTTTTAATGATCAAGATGTCAACATTTCAATCAAGAATTTTGGGGTTCAAATCTGTCCCTACCTATTTCTGTTTAAACTGAGGGATAACAACACAATAGTCTTTACAGATAAACAATACTGTTCAAAGGCGAGTATACAGATCATTACTTAATCAGTTGAATCATATTGAACATTCTTGTTCTACTGTCTTCTACGATATACTTTTATGTACTACGTATGATCTCTTACTTCATCATCATCATCAATAATCTTAATGAAAAAGAATGTTTAGTTTTTAATTTATCAAATAGTAATTGATTGTTTCTTTTTAAACGAATTGTACCAAAAAAAAAACATTCCTCTTATTTTATAATTCTTTCCGTGGTAGAAATGATGAGAATGATCTATCATGATGATATCCATCTGGATCTTTCTTTTTTTACTCATATGAAACAACGGTATCAACATCCTTAGCATCAACAACAACGTTCATGATAACGATGATCTCTGAGGATATCATATTTCCCAAAAACACTATAAACAAATTGTTAATGTTATATTTAATAAATAATGTGAACAATATCGTAGATTTGTGTTTGTGTTTTTTTTTCTGCTTTATGAAGTCTGCTTATTGCTATGTATGAGTTATAATGATATATATTCTTTATATTCAATATTGATGATAACTGAAATGATTTTTGTTAAGTGTTCGTCGATGGGTGATGTTTGAGTAGTGACATATATATGTACGATTACATGTATCTTGGTACATTAAAATAGAGAATGGGTGAAGCAAGAAAGAATTCTTTTTCATAATTTACTTCATTTGACTTTGATTGGTAAACTTCACATCCCAGTGTAATAATGTCGAAAAAAAGAATCTTTTCATAGTATTTTAATGTTTGATGTTCTGTTTTTATTGTGAAATAAAATATATATAATTTAATTCATTGTCAATCTATATGAATATTTATCTATGAATTGAATATATATTTATATCTCCCCCTTTCTGTGTTTATGTATTGTCAACGATTAATTTGTACATAGAACATAATGATACAGTGTATATTTTTATATTATAAAGTGTTAGAATTTTGTTTCTATGTGTGAATGTATTTTTCTTTTTTTTAAAGACAATTCTTGCCTCTATTTTAATTGCATAGCAACTACCTCTTTTTTATGTATGAACAATAAAAATAGTTTTCTAATGGTTCACAATTTGTAAATAATCATGAACTTTTTAACAGGTATTAGCATTAAATTCTTGTTATTACTCTTCATGAAATTGAATCAAATCATTTACATTGTTCAATGCATATCATATTTTAATGTCTTTATAGAGATGATCAAATTTACATTGGATCATTTAATCTGATCATATACATATATGTACTTATATGCTTGCGTTAAAGTATGTATACACAAACTCATGTATACATTCACTTATACGTATACCCTTCTCTGATTCAGTAGTCGGTCATTTTTAAAAAAATTAGTGTTATAGTGATGCTCTGCTATTGTTGATCATAATAATAAGGATGATCATAGTATCTTTCTCAGAGTTGAGAAATCAAAATGACCTAATAAAATTGTATACATTATTTATTTTATACGTGTATTCAGCTTACTACCGTGTCTTTTTTTTCCTCTTTTAAATTCAGTTATCCTATTTAATTGATTATGTGAATGTGTGTTTTTGAATATAAACCATGGGGTACCTACTTAAGAACACACACTAACTGCTGACTTGTTGTAATGGATTTTTCTAACTGTGCTGGTGAAATTTTTTCTTGTGAAATAGAAAAAAATATATATTCATAGTGAAATTGATAATCTTTCCCTGTTTTGGTTGTTTTTTTAACGTTGAACACCTTTGTTTATGTAATAGTATATATATACGTGTGTGTGTATACATTGAATGGCATACAAGCATAAAGGAACAACTGTGGTAGTGTACCATGTCAGCTTTACTTTCTTTTTAGATACCAGAAATGGTATTTCATTTTGTTTGTTCTCTTTTTAGCTTTTACTGTTCTTAATATTATTACTGTTTGTTTCTCTTGTCTACTTAAATTAGTAGACAAGCATTATGTGTGCGTACATGTATTTGGAAAATTTTTTTCTTGTTTACAATAAATACAATGCTATTGAAAGAATTAATCTGAATTTTTATGTATTTTGTTCATGAGTGAATGTGAAAGGTTTTTTTTCTCATTATAAATTATTGTTTATGAAAGAATTTTGGCAAAGCTGAATGTTAAGTGATTTGTTTATGAGAATTTCATTGTCTATTTAGAGAACATTATCAATACAGACTTATAACAAGTGATCATCAACAGTTTGTTTGTTTGTTGTTATAAATTACCCTCTTATCGTCTGAATAGATATTTTGATCATTTTCCACATTACTATTGATTGTTAGGTGTATAGCTGTGCATGATTTCTCCAATTGATAGATAAATTAGATCTTTCGATATGCCTAATCATTATTGTGTGTCAAGTTCCAATATTTCAACGTTTTTCCATTTGAACCTTTGTCCACTATGATCTATATGCATTGATGTAATGTAATGCTAAATAATAGCAAATTAGTGATGACACAGGCTAAAAGGACGGTATTTCATTCATCGTTTTCCATTATCCCCACCCTTGTTGTTACCTTAACGTGGTAGTCGAGCTTGCCTATCGTGATGAGCTAATTGGACTGTACTGCCCGGAACAGTTGTTCCTCAAGATCCGATAACGAAGTCGTTTTACTATCTGTACATAATAGCTGTGACACAGTACGATGTTTCCCTCAGACGAGCTGCCTACCACCGATGCTGTACTCGCACAAAGGAAGGGTAGGGTTAGAAAATGTCAACCCTTAATTTGCACACCTCCCCTTATCTCACGGATATCTGTCTCTGACGGTAAGTTCTCAGCAGTACGAAGCTAACACAAAATGTCGTGTGCGACCGGCCTCAATCAGTTGTCGCTTGGGCACTGCAGCTATTAAGATCACCTCATACCTTTAACAACACTCAAAACCATTGTTTTCCACTATTATAGCAGTTTATTCTGCAGGTGATGTTAGGCTTTCTTACTTTTGTCATTACATCTTTTAGTGTGCATAAGATTGATTTAAATGATTTTAGGAAGGTAATTTGAGCGAAGCAATATCTTTTCCTATTTGTTCTTCAGGGTTATCCACTAATTTACAGGTTTTACAAATGAATATAACATCAATGCAGATTAAATGGTGTTAAGTCAACTAAATATTATAGTAACCAGTTAGTTGCTAATCGTTTGGACGATGAAAATGAATGTTCATAATCAGTTAACTGTTATAACTAGTTAAATAAGACTAGTAATAGGGACTGAAATTGGATGTAAATATAAATATTTCTCATTATCTATGTACTTAATGAAAAGTAATTTGTAGAGCTGGTGCAATGAATACCAGATATTAAACGGGTTACGTAACACTGGAGTAGCGAATTAAGATTATTGTATAACCCTTCCATTTCTGCTTCTAACCAATTTCAACCTTACTACTCTACATTTTTACCTATTGTCAAGTGATCTGAATATTTTTTAATCTCTTCACACCTGTAGTTATCACATGATCCATTTTATTTGTTACTGGGCTTCATTTAATCATTGCCTCACAACTTCCTATATTTTTAGGTTCCATTATCAAATGTTCTCACACCTGTTCATATAATTGATGATCTTTGTTATCATAGTTCTTTTTTTTTCATCATCAATGTTGATTACTTCTGATTACATCCAATCTCATTGTTACACTTTGATACACATGAATGATTGTAAGTAGCCGACAAGTAACCACGAAATATAATGAATTCATATTATTCTACTTCAATAGTTGTATTGACTTTAATTTTAATTCAATTGCCGAACTTGAGAGATTGACCCTGAAAAAATTCTTTCGATTAAGCAGAAGGTGAAAAATACGAATCAATGAATTCTAAGGCAAAATCAAACAATATATATATTATTATCAGAATGTGTTTTGTGGAGGTTTTTAGAAATTTTCACAGATTGAAATATATATATTAGTTTCACATGATTTGTGAACTTTTCTATAGGTGCTTAACATTCAGAGTATAGGGTTTATTTAGTTAAACCATAATTAAATGCTAATTTTAAAACATACCTATTCCTTATCCTACCAATATGGCACGAAAATCTCTTTTCATCTTGTAATTTATAAGGCTCATTCCTATTCATTTTCTCACAGATTTTTAGAAAACAAATCTGACGCCCCTAATGTTTTTATCATTAAAATTAATCGTCATTCCATCGATAGTCATTATCTTGGTTTAATATTTAAGTTATGGTATTGAAGTCCTGATCAATTCAGTATTATACTAAAACCTGACCGTAGGTGCATTTGTCAGATATAACTATTGGTTTCTGGGTGTGTAAGTCAGGCTTTTTTATATTTCGGTATCTA